TTAAAAACTACTGTAGAGGTTCATGATTTTTTTCTATATAATATTACTTAAATACATTTTTAATTGGAATTTACTTTAGTAGTAACTTTGTCAATAAACAGCATCCCTATTATATAAACCAAGAAACACACCTACACAGGAAGGTATAATTTGCCAAGACTAATATTAGATTCACAGAGCTATGGATGCAATTTGAGTTCTTCTGAACACGGATAGGTCACTTTTATGTTCTTCATTCGAACCATGTCAAGATATTCTACGTAAAAACGAAGTTTCTTAGGCGCTTACGTTAAAGCTGGTAACGCTGTTGTGTCAATAGCTGTAACTGAGAAAGCGGAGGAGCTGGAGGCAGGGTTACTGGGGAGCTGCGCTCGGTTCTCTGAGAGCACGGCTGGCCCCAGGTTCAGTGAGCGTCTGAATGATCTGTCTAAAGAGAGGTTCTCCTGTTGTCGGCTCCCAAAATGCCGTGTTCAGAGGCAAATCAGCTCTTGCTCTTCAGAATTATGGTTTTTCTTGTTTTTGTTTTTTTCAGGTGGGCACTTCTTTGTTTTCAGGATCTGTTTGGTATATGGTAAAGTAATGCTCTACATTAACCCCTCCTGGCCCAGGCAAGTGAATTACATCTCCAAGTAAATCACAGTACCTCTGGGAATAAGAATGTATATGCTTTCATGGTGCTTCTAGAGTTTTGAAAGCATGAGAGGGTGGTAATCAGGTAGCATTCACCATCCCTGAAACTCTCATTGAAAAATCGCAGTGTTTCTGATCGTAGAAATTAACCAGCAGGATAACATTGACAAGCTAGGTTGAGATTTCTAGGAGTTCTGTGGAGTAGGAGAGCAATCCTGAGCCAAGACCCCAGGGTATTGTAGGCAGGAATTCCAGTGGGAATATTCTGGGCTCACACATAATGTCTTTTTGGAAAGTAAGACAAGAAGACAGATTTTTTTAAAATGGGTGGGTAAAGGCTTATTGGAAAGAGAAGTTTGGATGGGTCTCTTTGTAGGAACAAGTATTCTGAATTAATTATGTTTGTCAAATACTGGAGCTAGATGCAGATTCTGAGTAGGATCTTAGAATAATTTGGAACCTGTTTGTTTTGAATCAGCTTAATAATAGTTGAAAAACTGTGTGTTTGTGTATGTTACTATGTTGCTTAATTGGTCAAATTATTTGACACTCCAGCAAAATTGTTTACAATGATTAGCTGAACTGAGTTTTTTGCTTTCTTTAGATACACAGCTTTTCAGACAGAACTATATATGAAGAATAATACTTGCTTTTTCCATAGGATGAGGTTTGGTTATGAAAGGTTTGATAAACTTTGATTTATGCTTTGGACAAAGGCCTTGTTAAAGAGTTGAGTGGCAGAGTTGTTTCAGGTTTATGAGTTGTGGTCTTAATATGGCCCTGTGGATACTATCAGTATCATCTGTGAGTGTCAATTATGTGTTCTGTTTACAGAAACTTCATTCCATTTAAAGACTATGGACTGAAGCTGTGCATTCAGACATTTTGGAACGTAAACATTTATTTAAAAGATAACTTCCATAATATGTAATGTTTTATTATTAACTGCAATATAATAATTTTTATGATTCATTTTTGTTGTATTTACTTATTTTATACCTTTGACATACTTATTCCAAAAAAAGTTCTCCATTTCTGTTGAGTGCTCCAGGCTGACGTAGGAACCTTCCTAAAACTTAGCCCTATTCATATCGTTCCTTGGCTAGAGTCCCCAGTGCTCTTCTTCTGCTAAGTACAGACTCGTTCCCTTTCCCTCAAGGCCCCTAACAAGTATCGCCCCCAAGTACTTGTCCTGTCGTTATTTTACAGGATTCTCCCGCTGTGCTCTATAAACAACGCGAACAGGACTGCCAGCCTCACTAACACATCCTGCACTTGCCCTGCCCCATTGTCTTTGTGCTCTTCCTAGCATGCCTGACCTTCCTCATCCCCCCTCTCTCTGCCTGCCAAACCCATATGTAGCTTTCAGAGTCCATTTCAAATGCCTCTTTTGAAGGCCCAAGGTTGCCCTTTGGCCCCCATCTCTGCAGCTGTTTTAATCCCTGTTTACTCTTCAATGCTCTGCACGTAGTCCTTCTCAGGGCTCCCTTTCTGCCTGTTTCTGAGGTGGTTGGTGTGTACTTGTCAGTGTATAAATCCTTTGAGGTAGGAGTTGTGTCTTACTTTCTCTCTCTTGCAGGCACCTACGGAGCATCTTGCATGGGGCAGTCGTTGAGTCAGTAATTGTTGAGGTGAATTGTTAATAGCCAGCACTGCAGTATTCTTTCCAACCCAGCAGTGGTGCATCTCCAATTAATCATCTATGAGTAGAGATGAATATAGCTTTATTGAAAGTATGGTTTACATGACTATTAGATTAGATCATAGTTAAAGAGTAACTGTATGTTACTTTATTAAAATACCAGATCTTAAAATTAGTTAAAAACAGTTTAGTAAAGTGGCCAATGGCTTTCTTACATGCTAGTAATTCCTTGATGGAGCTATAGAAAAGTTATTCTCAAAATTAATAGCAGTGGCAACAATAACAATAACACAGAATGCCTAGAAATAAATGAATAACAAATGCATCATATAGATGAATAAAACTACCAAACTTTAGTAAGAGATGTCAAAGATTTTGAGTAATTATAGAAACATTTCTAGATAAGAATTGTGACTATTGTGCACATTTCACCTCTATCTAGATTAATTTATAAATTTACCTTAATCTCAATATAAAATCTAATGTAAGATTTTTTTTTCTTTTTGAATAACAGATCCTAAAATTTATCTGTAAGAATGAATAAGTAAGAGTACTTATGGCAGTTTTAAAAAGACGAGTAATGAGGTTTGAAGGATGGGAAATTCTTTATCAGATACTAACTGATAGTCTTTACAACAGTTTGGTTTCAATACAAGATTTCAGATATTGATGGACAGTATTAGAGCCCCAAATGGACCCTTTTATATACAATTACTTCATCTATAATAAAGTAAGCATCACGAGTCACTGGAGAAGTTATTGATTATTCAATAAGTAACACTAGGAAAATTGTCTACTGGGGAAGGGGAGGAGTAAGGCTATATCCTCACCCTTAATCCTAATAAATTCCAGAAGGAATAAGTGCTAAATGTTAAAAAGGAAAATATAATCAGAAAAGAAATATAGGTAAAAACTAATAATGGGATCTAAAAAGACTTTCTAAAGCTAAACGAAATAGAAAAATCAAGGAAACGATCGATAATATTTCATTATGTAAAAATTTAGGAACATTTGTATGTCAAAACATAAAATTAAAAGATAAGGGACACTTTACAGAAAAATATTTTCCAAATATAATAGACAAAAGGTTACCCTTACTATATAAAGAGCTCTTCTGAATAAATAAAAACTTAACATTTCAATAAATTAATGGGCAAATCTGAACAAATAAAGCCATAAAGAAATACAAATAGAAAAGTAAATGTTTAAAACTAATATCAATATAAATTAAAATAGTATAGGTTAAACTGATGAAACATCATTTTAACCTTTATCAAACTAAGATTGAAATTTGATAATTAAAGTTGGTAAGAGTATGATGAAATGGATACGCTTATGCATTACTTAATGATAGGTGTGTAAATCAGTGTGAGCTTTTTGGGAAAACAAACAGTTTTTACTGTTTGATTCAGTAATTCCACTCCTAGTGATCTATCCTAAAATAATGGAGATACATAATACATAATAGTCATTTCTTGCTGTGCAACAGATCACTCCAGAACGGAGTGACTTAACCAGTAAAGATTTATTATCCCTCAGTTTCTGTGGGTCGGGAATTCCAGTGCAGCATAGCTGGGTGCCTCTGACTCGGGTTCTCTCACAACCCTGCAGTCCAGATGTTGGCCAGGGCTGCAGTCCTCTGAAGGCTTGACTGGGAGAGAATCTGCTTCTGTGCACACTCACCGTGGCTATTGGCAGGCCTTGGCTCTTCGCTAGCTGTAGGGTGAAGACATCAGTTCCTCGCCACATGACCCTCTCCATAGAGCTACTTACAACTTGACAACTGCCTGTTTGAGAGAGACATGGAGTGCTATTCTTTTTGTAACCTAATCTTGAAAGTAACATCTCCTCACTTCTGTTATAGTCTGTTTGCCAGACGTAAGCACTAGATCCCCTTTTCTCTAGGGGAAAGGATCACACAAGGGCATGAGGATCAGCAGATGAGTTTTTTTGGAATATTTTAGACACTGCCTCCCACACAGGTTAATATACAAAGGTTTTCATCATAGTTTTTATTTTTTAATTTATAGTAGAAAAAAATACATAATCACATATATACAAAGAAACAAATAAGGAAGCAATTTAAATGTTCCACAGCAGAAGAAGGGTTAAATTGTGCTACATCCACATAGTGGTAGTATAATTGTATAATAATGGTAATTTCTACCTTTTTTGAGTGTCAGTCGTGTGCTAGGCATTTGCTAGATGTTGTATAAATATTTGTGATCCTAAAAACCATGTAAGGTGGTGGTTATTATCCTCATTTTACAGATGAAAAAAGAGATGCTCAGAGACGAAGTAGCTCATTGAATTCTGAGCACCGGAATGTCGTTATAGGGTTATCCAGCTTGAAAGCCCAGTGATCACACTGCCATTTAAGTATGCTTATGAAGAATATTTAGTGACACGAGGAAGACCTACAAAAAGATCACTTTTTACAAAGTGATCCACATGTACACATTTTATTTACATCTAAGGAAAAAAGTCACAAATGATGTCTTTCATTGGTAGAATAATAGAATATTAAAAATTTTAAAAACTTTTATTTCATTCTAAATCTTTTACATTTTCCATGTGTTCTCTTTATAATCATTTTTAAAAATCAGTATGCTTTGTAAAATATTTCAGCTCCCTGTACTCCCAAGGAAAAATACACAGTACACACAGTTTTATGTGAAATTGAAATTTTACTTGGTAATGAATCATTCCCTTTAATCTGCTCTTCTAGATTACTGATCTCTCCTTACCCAACTATCTGATGGCATCTTCAGTTGGACTGCTTCCTACCCAGCTCCTGAATTCTTACTTGGGTACCACCCTGCGGACAATGGAAGATGTCATTGCAGAACAGAGTGTTAGTGGATATTTTGTTTTTTGTTTACAGGTGAGTTTTAGGCCAAAGGTTGTCTTTTTGTATGGCGTTACTCATTTAAACCTAACAAGTGTCACTGAAAATAATTTAAGAGGATTTTTCCTTTTTATGTCTTTTCTTATTATTTCAATTATACTTCATATTTTGACAACATTTACATTTTTAATTGTGTGGATATATTGAAGTGTATAGAACTGAATTGGCACTTATGAAAATTCTCTTAGACAAAAAAGGGAATGACAAAAATAGAGTTCTTTTTGCAGTGATTATTTTCAAAGTCATCACTAAATCAAATACTCTGAGTTAAGGTGAAGTGTTGGTAATACTACGTTTCTGAAGATAATTTTAGTGAGATTTGGTGGGCTTGAGTTTTTATCTTAGTTACTTTATCTTCAAATTATTGAACTCTTCTATTGGTATCTTTTAAGGGTATTATACTGGCAATGTAAATTGTTTTCTATTACCATTTGATTTAGAACAAAATACTTTTTCAGAAAGTGTTGTTTCATAAAAAGTATCTAAAGTATTCCATTACAAATCCAAATAAGATTTGTGCAATGGATTACTATTACCATGCAAATTGTAATCTAGTTTGGGGTACATACAATTCCATATAAGAGGTTGATAAAAGAGGAAAATCCTGCCACGTAGGCAAATTTATTTACTGCATGCAGGAAGAGTTAAAAATTCATTTCTTTAATTGTGATACATTTCATTCCTGAGATTTACCAAAATATAAAATCACTGTAATTTTTGACGATTTAGTAAGATGACGATGATGATAGCTAACCTTTATTGAGTGCTTTATGTGTGATATTAAGCTCATTTAATCACTACCGAAACCCTAGGAGGTACATACTTTTATTATCTCAAGCCAATTGGGTACATATCTTTCCAACTCTGTGTCCAGGGACTTCAACACTGGTAGCTTGAAATTGATCGTGGTGTGGTGAGTATTTGTGCCATGGAAAACGGCAAGTGCTCCAAATCAGGACTCCCACCTCTCATCTCCAAGAACTACTTGATCACCACACCAGTGGATAGTAATTTGTCTAAAGTCACAGCTGCAAGGTGTAGAACCAGGATTTGAACCAAGGCAGTTGGCTCTAGAGACCATGCTCATAACCACTAGACTGTAGTCTACTGAGCAGACTTTAACTTACTGGTCCCTTGCTAGTTTTAATTTATACAGTTTTTGAATGTATGGTATCATATTTCAAATTTATTGTTAGTGGCATTATTCTCAAGTTTTTGCAGTACTGTATTGTATTAAGAATACTATGATAAGTATAGCCAGAGTTAATTTTCTTTGTGCTTGTGCAGTACAAGTTTAGTAAAGTAAACCCAGTAATATTTACTTGAACTATAAATAAAACTTGTCAATAAAAGGGCTCACTTTAAGAAAAATTTTTTAATACTTTTGATATTTGGGAGTCAATTTTTATTTTTCTTGACTATTTTATCTTCAGAACTCTATTTTTTTAGATAACCTGAATCTAGGTTTAGAGTTTTTATTATAGTTGGCTTATTAATGTAGTATGCTAATCACATATTAAACTTTCTATGTATTATATCTGCATAATAATTTATGTTTATAATTATCCCTAAGTATTATAAGATTGTGACATACACTGCATTTGTCAGATAGTTTTTTTAGTATAAATTTAAGCATATTTTATGTTTTTCTAGTTTCCTGAAAATGAGTAATCCATTTGAAACATCTTTTTTCATACATTGTGTTTGAGTAATTAGAATTCATCATGTTAGTAGCTTTCATAAGATTTTCAGTATTTGATATATTTCTATGCATCTTATTAATTACTCAACTATAATCGGGAGTTACAATAGAACAAAATAGTTCATGGATTAGTCAGTGTTGCTTCTAGAAAGGTAGGGTCTTCTTTTTTTCCAATGATTTGTTATCCTTTTGTTTGAGCTGACAAATTTAAGCTTAGGATACAAGACAAGGGAAAAAAGGCAAATATTTCTCAGACCAGGCATTTATGAAAACAACAACCACAACAAAAAAAAGCAAAGGCATATTTATGCCTCAGTTTGATTTATTGATGTTATTTATAGCTCAGTTTATTTCAGAAAGTATTTAATTCAGTTTACAAAAGATATATGGGAGAATAAAAAGAGGGGAAAGAAGGTATCTTAAAGGGGAAAATTAGCATAGGAAAAAAGGATGAAGCTTAGGTTAAAGTTAGTAGAGTAAGTGTGTTGATGACATTCCTCACATTTGCTAGAAATGAGCCACAGATTTGCCTCTGAGCGTTATAGCCACGACAAAGAATCCATAGTGTCTGTAAAATTAAAACAATACAAAATAGATGTGCAGAGGAAGGCACAACTATTTCTTGTATAGAAATCCAACTTAGATGCTGTGGTCTGTCAATTCAGTTACTCTTTTCCATGCCCTGTATTTTTCTGTGTACCCACCAGCCAAAACCCCTGTCCTGGGTAAGTCCAACTTTTGATCTGCTTTGCACTTGTTCTTTTGGGATAGTCATACACTCAAGTATTTAATTCATGGTTACAAACCTCCAGCTGGCTTCTCAACACTGCCCCATATTCTAATTGTTTCCTTTGTCTTCTACTCCCCCATTTTCCTCAATGACTCCTTCAAACTTACCTTCACTCTCCTTGCAATTTTGACTCCTTCCTCTACTTCCCTCTTCATTCTCAACAGAATGCTTAACAGAAAACTCAGAACCCTTCAAATTGGAAACCCCTCAATTTCCATCTAAGAAATCTGCTAACCCTCTTGTGTTCCGCTCATAGTCTCATCCTGCTTTCCCGTTGATAGTGGAAGAGGTGCCTTTTTGTGTAAGGCTCGTCCTTCTACTTGTGTTTGATTCTTTCGTTTTAATAAGGAAACTTTTAAAACAGTTGTCTTTTTCTTTTCTTTTACGCTTCACTGGGCTGAGAGAGAGGGCGTGTTGGGAAGAGTTAGTAAAAATTGCCAGGCCCTGGGTTCCAGAAGGTGCTTCTAAAAGCCCATGTAAAGGTGTAGCCAGTTCACGCTTGCTGGGACCAGAAAAAGTTTTCCACTGGGTCTAAACTCACCTTCTGTGGCCTTGCCGCATCCTTCCCTCAAACTCTCATCACTAACCTTGTCTAAAATCAGATGCACTTTCCATTTCTTGTCTGATTTGACCTCTTAGCAACCTAAGACTCTGTGACCATGCCTTTTTAAAACACTTTCTTCCCTTAGCTTCTTTGATGCCACTATCTTGAATTTTTTTTCCCCCTGCCTGGCTCATTTTATCAGCACTTCCTCCTCTTTTCACCCCTAAATTAGTGGTGTTCCTCCAGATTCTAGCCTAAGCTTTTCTAGTTTCGCTTTCTTCTTGGCAAATCCAGTTACTGTGGTGGCTGCTCTTATGCTTACCTGTGTAAGGACCCCCTAATACACATCTGCAGCTCAGCCTTGTTTCCATAGCATTAGACACGTTCACTGAACAGCTTTGGATACCTAACAGGCCCCTCAAATTCAGCATGTCTTAAACAGAACTTAGCATCTCATCCACGCCCCCCAGCAATTAGTTCTCTAACATTTTTCCCATCTCCTTACATGGTATCACCATCCACTGATAAGTATCAAACTTAGAGTTTTCAATAAGTTAATTTTGTTTTTTTAAGAGCTCACGTGTTAGAGAACAAACACAAGATTTAAAGGCCCACCTTTAAAATACCTAATTTGCTTAGAATTGTATTGAGTAAGGGGTACTCACTTAATGGTGCTCGCGTGCACAAGTTCTGAGTTCCCCCATCTGCCCCACCTACCTCACCCTTAGGATGCTCTGCCTCTATCCTTCCCCCACCACCCTCAATACATGCATTCAGAATACTCTTCCCACAAAGCTGTTAAAATTATGAATAGGCTAATTAAAATAGTGTTATATTTTAGGGTCACTATGGTTAGAGCAGCCTTTGGAAACTTGCTGGGACATTAAACACCTGCTCTAACCTTGTTTCACTGAGAATATTTGCTCCCGACTCTGAAGAACTGATTTACAAATGAACCTTGGAATGAATACCGTTCAGCAGATGTGGACTGCTAGACATTCTTTTGAATTGTATGTAGAATATTAAAGCACAGAGGACGACAGCTTCCTGTTGGACAGTGGGAGAAGCCCACGTGGGTTAAGGGACTGACCTGAGCTCACGTCACTAGTGAGGAGCTAAACCAAGACGGGAACCTGACTTTCAGTTTGGTGCTTTTTCTGATATTCCTTTGACTGGCATTTTTTGCCTCACCATCCTATTTTCCTTTGTTTCTCCCTAAGTACAGACAATTTCATGTTCACAATCTTGTTAATTTCTTTTGAAGTTTATTGGCATGTCATTTTGTTAAAGTGGTTCTTTGACCGCATCAGGTAGTTCATTTGCAAATGGTAGTGCTTTTCCCTAAGTGGTCTTAGAAATACCTGTGGACATTTATAGTTGTGCAGAGATAAAATACTACATTAATTAATTAATGGTTAATTGCATTAATTGTGGTAAAGTTTAGCTAGCTGTTACCTCTATTGTAGACATTTTTTTATTCCTTGAAGGAAGCTTCTTGGTACAAAGAGACAAGTTTGACTTGTATCAAAGAAACATCATTTATATGGACTAAAAGGGATATATGTTTGCCTTTTGTGTTAATCTGTTATTACATAATGGTTACCTATAGATTTTGGCCCTCCACTCCCTGTAGAAACAGCCAAGGAAAGAATAAATGACAACTGTGTGTAAACTATTTAAAAATTTTACCTGACCGTATTTGAGAAGCATCCTATTTGAACCATTTCTAAGCCAAATATTTATTGGATTTATTTCTCCCTTTTCTCTTTGTGAAATATTGTTAACTGTAATGTTTTATTTTTATTCACAGATTATTATAAGTATAGGCCTCATGTTTTATGTAGTTCATCGAGCTCAAGTGGAATTGAATGCAGCTATTGTAGCTTGCGAAATGGAACTGAAAACCTCTCTGGTTAAAGGCAATCAACCAAATACCAGTGGCTCTTCATTCTACCACAAGAGGACCCTAACGTTTTCTGGAGGTGGAATCAATATTGTATGATTCTAACAAAATGTGTGATTCTCAAGAGCCAAGTGTTCTGTCTGAGGTCTAGCAGTCACCTCACTAGTGGACAGAGACAAGTTCTAATTGTATTACGGCACAAACAAAACTGACTAGTTTTTCAATTGCACAGTTTTTTTAAGGCAAGAATCATTTTCTGGATATGTAAGTGCAAATGTAGATGCAATTTTGGCTGCACCTATTTATCCTTTATTATGCCCGTAATGGCCTATAGGTTTGCACTTTAGTGTTTTTTAATTGTTTTCTCTCTGGGTACTTATGAACAGAGAAATAACCCAAATATTTTTCTGCCTAGTGTCTTTATTTATAAAGTCCATGGATAGTTGCATTTTTCCTACTTATAAAGATGAGTAAAAGTATGCAATTTTAAATATATAATATTATTGGATGTTGTTTGCTTTGGTAGTCTTTCCAGAAGGGATAAATAGTGTTTTTTGTTTTGTTTTATTTTTTTAAGTGGGACCACTTTGCTTCCCTTTTCCTTGCTAATTAGAAAATAGACATTAACTTTTGGTTGAATGTATTTTTGCAAGTGTCTCATTGTTGCAGGGCCCTTGACACCTATTCACACAAGCTTAAATCCTACATTGTGGGACTGAAGTGCTCTTAAGATACCTTTTTATTTTCACTGTGTAATGTGCAAAGCAAAAGGGAATTATTTAATGAGTAGTGGCTCAAATTAGAACTTGCGTTCTAATTCCATTACACTAGCTTGACCCTTGTTAGATCTTTCATCAAAGGGCTGTCCCATTGCAATCTTACTAAAACATTTTATTAAACTTTTTTTTCTTTTTATATTCATAATTAGGCTTTTAAATAAAAATGTTATTCCTTTAAAATGGTGGGCTTACCGTCATTGAAGATGTCACTCAGGTGGCCTTGTCTGATCAAAACGCCTTTTTAAAAAACCAAGCTTTAAAATCATGTTTATAATTCCATTGAAGTGCATATATAGTTGTCCCCATAGTCTTCAGCTTTAAAACTATAAATATAATGTTAACTTAATGCCCAAATTTGTATATTTACCCTACTATACAGTAGGCTTATTTTGTTTGTTTTTCGGTACTTGTTTTTCTCTGATAAGACTCAGGAATTCTGAAATGTGAAATTAAGTCTCTCAGCGCTTTCTCTTATAGCATGAATTGAGTGTATTTATTAATAGCACTTATGAGTATAGCATACAATAATTTTACATATGATTCATATGGTATATGTATTATTCATTATCACCTTATAATTTTAAAATAGTTTAATTGTAAACTTGATAAGTTTTTTTACAACCAAGATAATAGATAGGAATGCAGATTTTCTGGTAGGTATCTCTTTTTTGACTATGAAGATTCCACCTTATCAGAGACCTTCCATTTGCCTTTTCATTAGGGTAAGACCTTAGCCCTGATTTACTAAACTGCATAAGAATTCTTTGGAAGCAGATTATTCTAATCTTATGCTAGAGATGCATTTGATCATTTTAATGCATACTTTTTTGCCTTATTGTAGGTATAATTGTTTTCCTTTCCTTCATAATACGTAAGTTTTCTTACCTTTGAGTAACAGTAAAGTTCATTTGTATGTCCATAGCAAGAAGACCTCAGTGCAAATGATCTGAGAGGCACCTGGGTCTACAGCACTTAATTGGCCTCCAAATCCTTCCTTCTTTTATTGGTAGAAAAAAATACATAGTATTGGAATATTCTTATTCTTTTTTGAATCCTGATTACTTGTTGTTTTTGATTTTTTAAAAGAGATTTTAGTTTAATAATCCCAATGAATAATACATTTGATTTATTCTTTTCTGTCTACATTGACAATATTTTTCTTTTGCTTCTTGTTTGTTGGTTAGTTTTTGTTAAAGGAGTCATTAAGATCATTACTTTCATACTTGTGTTATACTTCATGTATTTTGAAGTGCATTTATTTACTTAGCGTTTTGTAACTTAATAATTTCACCAAGTGAGTACCTTGTGGTAGTTTGTAATGAGTTCTTCCAGTTGTTGCATTTTGCTTGGTACTTAAAATAAATATGTAAAGGTCAAAGAGAAATAATTTTTCTGTATTCTGCCAATCATAATTTTATATAATAAAATCATCCGTTTTTACTTAAAACAGTATGGATTTACTATTTCTAAAATACTGAAGCTGCAGTTTTCCTTCTCTTCATCATTTCCAGCCTCCAAGTAAACAACAATCCATGGTAGTTGTGCGATTTGATAGCTGAATTGGGTTGCTGGGTCTTTAGATGTGTTTGCTACAGATTGTGTCAAGCATTGCCATGCCTTGTTCACTGCCTCTTTAACCCTGCATCCCAGATTTATGGCAGCAACACATTTCTACAGGATCCTTTTATGTCGCCCAAATATTGCCTCCAGTCTTAAAGTGTATATTTATAAAGTAAAATGTTTTGGATTTCTGAAACTGTTTTAAGTGTAGTATAAAGTAGCTTTATGCACAGTTTAAAAAGCATACAATATACCTAATTTCCAAATTTGATGAAAAATATGTTCTATTCTTGTTGGTTTTTTTTTTTCTGAGGATGGTCGGCCCTGAGCTAACATCTGCCAATCCTC